GGTGAATCTTAGAACTGGGTAAGTTGGAAAGACCTAACCTGATTTCATTTATAAGAAATATCCAGAATAGGCAAATCTATAGAGACAGAAATTAGATTAGTAGTTGCCTGGTGGTGGAGGGGAGAATGTGAGGGTCTGGAGATGATAGCTAAGGGGGGGTGCAGAGTTTCTTTTTGAGTTGTGAAATATTCTAAAATGGTGGTGATGGTTGTACAACTCTGTGAATATACTAAAAACCATTGAATTGTACACTTTGAATGGTTGAATTGCATGATATGTGGACTAAAAATAAAGCTGTTAAAAAAAAAATAAACTTGGACCAAGTTTCATGGGAAGGCACTCATTGTCTTTCCTAGACCTGGGTAGTGCCCATTACCTAGTAAAATAGCTAGCAAATATTATGGACGTACGTTCCAGAGGGTACAAAATAAGTAAACAATTGCAGCGAGATGTGGTTAGTATCATACCAGGGCAAGTGAAGGCTCCTGTGGCAGGAGCAACTTCTTAAAAAAATTTGTGACGTCTTAGTCGATGGCCGTCAGGAGAGCAGGTGTGAGCAAGGCAACAGAGGGGTGGGATAGGGTGCCACGGAGGGAGCAGTACCAGGCCTAGGGGCAAAAGAGTCCTGCAAGTAGTCCAGAGCAGAGCAAGACCAAGGGGGCAGAAATGAGGCTGGAGAGGGGAGCAGGCACAAAGGGCTTTGTGAGGGTGAAGTGGGCTGAGCTTTTCCCTAAGAGAAGAGCCCGTAGTGGTAGATTTATGTTTTAGAAATCACTCTGACTGCATCGTGGAGAATGGATCCAACAGGGGCAAGAGCAGATGTAGGGAGCTGGTGAGAAGGCATTTTGAGTGTCTAGGAGAGAGGTTAATGTGTCTGTCCTGCATCTGAGTGGTGCCAGCGGGGACAAAGAGATATAGACAGGGGGTGGTGGCTCACACGTGTAATCCTAGCATTTTGGGAGGCCGAGGCAGGAGGATCGCTTGAAGCCAGGAGTTTGAGGTTGCGGAGAGCTATGATGATGCCATAGCACTCTAGCCTGGGTGACACAGCAAGACCCTGTCTCAAAAAAAAAAAAAAAAGATGTAGACAGAGTTTAGAAATATTTAGGGCATTAATTGAGAGGATTCTGATGGTTGAGATGAGGGAACAGAGGAAAGAGTCAAGGACAGGCCCAGTTGTGTGACTTGGGTACCTGGGTAGTTGGTAACCCTGAGAACCCTGGAGGGGAAACAGGTTTCGAGAAGATGCTGAGTTCGATTCTGAGCATGCTGAGTTTGAAATGCCCTGGACATTCAAAAGGAAGTGTCTGGTCAGCAGCTGGGTGTGGGCTCTGGCAGCGAGGTGAGAGCAGTGTGAATGGTTGGCACGAGCCTCAGCATGCAGAAGGAAGCCAGAGGGATGGATGGGGTGGTCCAGGGCTGTGTTTTGAGAGAGGAGAAAAGGGCCTAGAATGGAACCCCATGGAGTGACGTTTAGGAGAATGCCAGAAGAGGAGGAGGAGAAGGTTGTAAGGAGATTCAGAGGAGATAGCTAGAAATGTAGGTGTCAGCCATAGCAATTCAGCTGCTCCAAGTCAGCACTTAATGAGTGTTCATTTGCCCTGTAGTATATTCAGAGACAAGTGAGACTTGACCCTTGACATCGTACTCAGACTAGTGGGCATTGCCTGGTTGCAGCCTTCTGAAACAAGAGGCCCCTTTCTCACAGGCCAATGACAGTCTTATTTTCCAAACGATAAATTGTGCTTCTTTAGCAGTTTATATGAGGCACTGGAGTCCTTCCCAAGCTCACTTTCTGGTATCATCCAGGCCCAGAAAAGCCAGGCCTGGCAGCCAAACCAAGAGCCTTCTGTCCGTGGATGGATGGCCTGAACAGGACACTCCAGGGCTGTTTTGGGGGACAGAGGGAAAGGTGGGGTCGGGTCATATGCCTGGGGTTCAGCAAATTGTACCCACACAACAGGCACAGGAACACACAAGGAAGGCACCCCCGCTCTGTGGGCGAGACAAAGCAGCAGTCCTCTTCCCACGTGCCAACCCATCTGCTTCTTTGCCTCCAGAAACATGCCTTTTTTTCTTTCTTTTTTTTTTTTTTTTTTGTTCTCTGCAGTTCTGAATACATGCAGAAGAAGAGTGGGAGACAGGAGGAAAGGTAAGGTTGGAAGAGGGCAAGAGGAAAGGAGGGGAGGGGGGTTGTTCCAGCGACCACCAACACAATAAATTGTATCATGGACCACTTCAGCCTGGCCCCTTGTTTGCTGTGCATGTGTATTTGTCTCCCCTGGGCAGAGCCCCATGGATGATGGCCAAGGCATATGCTGTGGCCTCGATGGACTTAACTGATGGGCATTACTTAGTGTGTCACAGGCCCACTTTATCTGTCCCCTCACAGAGGCTGGCACAGACTCCACAGAACAGCTGGGCACAGGCTTTCCCTGTCCTGGTACCTTTGACTCCTGACGGTGTCATCAACCTCCCATTACCTGGGGCAGCAGGCTCCCAGCTATCCTAAGGCCAAGGCAGCAGGAATACGTGCCTCCCCAAACCTGCATGACGACGGGGAAGGAGGTGGGGGGCGTGCCGTGGGGCAGTTTGCCCTGTATGACGACCTGAGGGAGGCACCTGCGAGGTGGACGGGGTCGGGGAAGGTCTACAGGTGGAAGACAAGGGTTCTCCCTGACTTCCACCACCTTATAGACATAGGCCTGGGCCTGGGTGTAGGTGGCCATCAGCCTGACTTCAAGCATGGATGGAGAGGGTCGAGTGGCTGTCCTGGGGTTGATCTATGCTGCTCTGAGCCGGGTAGGCTAGATGGGCAAAGGCCTGAGGGTCTAGGCCATTTTTGTCCTAGTCCTTTCCCTGGCTGTGCTCACAGTATCCTAATTCTAGCTCCCCCTCCCCCCCCCTCTGCTAGAGCTGAGTACTAGCCTTGGGCCTCAGGACCCTCCTTGTAGAGGACAGTCAGGGGTCCTGTCTCTTCCCAGCGTTGGAGAACAGGCATTTTCACTGACAGCCCAGCTGACTCCTAGCTGGGATGAATATTTTTCTATTCTCCATTTCTTGCCCGAGCCCTACCCTCTCCTGCGGATTGCGCTGTGAGCTCGTGCCGGCCCAGTCACCCCCATCTGCACTTTCCCAGGACCTGATCAGCCAGTGTTTACTTCCTCTTTCCCCACCACGCGGGCTGTGCAAGTGGACAGTCCTGCCCTACCAGTGGGACTCTTGTGAGACCTGAGGCCTGAACGGCTCCTAGGGGTGGTTGTAGGAGTGCTACCCTCCTGCAGGGGCCCAAGGGGCAAGCCCAAGCTGTGGCCAGCTTTGTTTTTGTTTTTTTGACAGGGTCCTGCTCTGTCGCCCAGGCTTGGAGTGCAGTGGCGTGATCATAGCTCACTGTAAACTTGAACTCCTGGGCTCAAGCGATTCTCCAGCCTCAGCCTCCTGAGCAGCTAGGACTACTGCACCCAGCTAATTTTTACAAAATGTTTTGTAGAAATGGTGTCTCACTGTTGCCCAGGCTGGCCTTCAACTTCTGGCCTCAAGTTATCCTCTTGCGTTGGTCCCCCAAAGTGCTGGGATTACAGGCATGAGCCATCAGCCTCCGCCAGCTTCGGGTGCCAGCTTCGGGTGCCAGCTTCTTTGCCTTGGTGCCTCATGCTGCCCCAGCTGACCACCCAAAAAGCTGGGTTGCACCATCCTGCCCATGCCACCCTTTACAGTCACAGAGGGAGCACAGAGCTACGCCAGTACGCTGAGGGTTGTCTGCCTGCCCCAGCCCCCACCCGTTTGGAATGAGCCACCTGCATCCACACACAGGTGTTTCCTGTGCGCCTTCCTGTTGCCGTTTTTTCTGCTCAGTTTGGCTTCCCCAGCAGGTGGTTAAGGCCCCAGCCAAACCTTTCATACACAGCTCTAAAACACTGGGGGGCAGGGCTCCCCCGGGATCTGGGTCACCCCTCCCCCCCCAGGACTGTTGGCACCTCATTGCCCTCTCCTGAGTGCAGGCACACACACTCCCCAATAGGACGCCTTTGAGCACATGCTGTCGTGCTGTCGTGCTACTACCACAGGCACTGGGACACCAGCGTGGCCTCCAGGAGTAGGGGGCCCTGCCTGTGCACGGTCTCCCTTGCGCTTGGCTAATGGAAGTTCTGGAGGCAGAGGGGAAGGGTGGAGGGCCTGTTTCTGTAGCTGTGGGTGTGGGCCTCTCTCGGGCCCTCTTCAGAACAGGCTGCCATCCTGAAGTCCCGCCCCACCCTCAAGTTCCTCACACAGGACTCAACCCTCTGGGGTTAACTCGTTGGCATGCCAGGCAGCTCCGGGGCGAGGTGAGCCCTCTCCCGGGAGTCCTGCTTCCTGAAGCAGTGCGGGGCTGCCGGGTGTGGGGGGCCACAGGGATCATTCGGGTTTGTTATTACAGAGAGGGAGGCGGCTGGGGAGGGAAGGGACTTACTGTCTTGGGTCACAGGGCAGCCATCCGGGTCTCCTGCCTCCCAGGCCCCAGCTCTTCCCCTCTGCAAGGCGCTCCTCTCCCTTGCCACCCAGACTCAAGGAGCTTCTTCAGCCCCCTCTGGAGGAAGCTGCCTGGGCCTCGGCTGGAGGGGAAGACGCAGAGCCTGGCATCGGCTAACGTGGCTCTGCTGCCTCCTGCTGGCCAGAAGCTCCAGCCACACCACACCACCTTTTCCTGCCTGTTTGCCCCTGGCCACAGCCATTCCCAGGACTGGCGCCCTTTGGGCCTTCTCTGGGCCAACTCCACAGTTCCCAGGCCCAGGGCAGGCCCAGGCTGCAAGCTGAGCCTGCTCAGCAACGCCTGCCATCTTCCTCCCCTGCTCTCTCCTCCTAGCCCAGTTCCAAGTTCCAGCCTCTGGCCTTTCTTCTACCCGGATTTCCAGGGCAAGTGCACCAGCCACTGTCACAGCTGGAGTGTGGACACATTAGCGTCAGGAAGGGCCTCAGCCAGAGGGTGTTAGAACAGCGGGTCAGGAATGCACCAGGCCACGTAGGAAAGGCAATTTGTTTTTTTTATATTCTGTAAAACTCTGTAAATAAAATACAAAACCAAAAGATGTGGTGGGGTGGAGGCAGGGTGGCTGGGCCCCAGACACTGATCTGTGACAAGGGATGTGCTGAGCCAGGCTGGGAGGCACTTGACTGCAGGCACTGACTGCCGACCCCAGGGGCAACAGAAGAATATATTAGATTTTCATTGATAGGAATCTGGGGGGGAGGGGTGTCTGGAGCCAGCCCTCACCCTCCCTGCCAGCGCCTGGTGAGCCCTGAAAGTGGGGGGAAGGGGCGCTGGGAGCCGGTGGGCGGACGGCTTAGAATGCTGTGCTGGCCATGCTGCCGGGCCCAAAGATGCGGGGTAGGGCATCCAGTGACTCCTCCAGACGTCGATGGGCAGACTGTCCCTCTTCACCTGTCATGTGTGAGGATGGGATCAGGCTCGACCCTGGCCCCATCTCTCCTCCTTCCATCTGCCAAGATGTCCCAGAACCCCACTTGACCCCTCTCTCCCATCCCCCAGCTCACCACACTGTTGTAGGCTCTGCCGGGCAGCCTCCCTCACCGCTTCTGTGTCCGTTTGGCACAGGTACACCAGGGGCTCAATGCCCTCTGGAGCCTGTCAGAAGAGGGGGCATTAGGGGGGCCCAGGGGAGCAGACAGGAGGGGCTCAGGGATAGGGGTACTGGGAGGGGAGGGAAAGGGTGGGTGGGTTGGCAGGGGTCACCTTGATGCAGCCCAGGGCCAGGCAGCCAGCCACTCGAGTCTGCACATCCTCATCCTCAAGCTGGTCCAGGAAGCACAGGAGGGCCTGGGTGAGGGTGGGAGGGCAGATTTAGCCAGACACTGGGAGTCTGGGACCCCAGCCCTTGCCCTCTGGAGACCCTTGCTTGACTCACCCTCTCCCGGAAGGCAGGGCCCAGTGACAGGCTTCGGAGCTGGGTGCTGACAGCAGCCATGACCTTGTTGTTGCCATGGACGAGCAGGGAGCTGAGGGCCCGAAGGCCATCCCTTCGCAGCCGCCCCTCGGGTGCCAACCTCAGGGCCTTCAGCACGACAGCCTGGTCATCCGAGTTCAGATTTCGCACCAGTAGCACTGAAAGAAGGCGGAGGTTGGGGTGGGACAAGGTGGCAGGGCAAGGAGCCTCCTCGTGTGGGGAGGTCTCATCCTTGTGTCCTCAGACCCACCCAGAGGGGTCAGGCTACTTTATGGTAAGGGCCACTGCCTCACCCTCCTCAGCAGTCTCGGTCACATAGGCCTCCATGGAGGGGCTGTCCAAGGTTTCGACGTAACTCCAGAACTGGAAGATGGTGAGGTGCTCTCCAGGGCCTGGCTGAGGCCTCCTGGGAAGCTTCTGCCCCAGGGCATCCTCCAGGAGCTTCACACACACTGCAGGAGGCAGTACAGCAGGCCTCAGAGTTGAGATGGACCCAGGTGTTTAGAGGGAATAAAATCTTTCTATCCCAGGCTCAGGCCCGGGGCCCCCTGTCCAAACCCTACCCTCTGGGTCTTTTGCTCCAAAGCATGAGGCTTTGCTGTTTCCCCTCAGTGCTCAGCTGCTATGTCTGTGTGGGCTGACCTGGCTTTCCCTGAGGTCCCTGTCACTAGGGATCCAAGACAGGAATGGAAGGAGGGGCAGGTAGGCAGCCCACTCACCAGCCTCGGCTAAGCCTGGCTGGCGCAGGGATAGACGGGCACCGTACTGGTTGCAGAAGGTGAGAAGTACCCGCTCCACGGGGCAGAGGAAGGGGCTGAGTCCCTCTGTGCACTGGTCCCAGAAGGTCAGGAAGCCGGGCCGAGAGGCCGAGAACTGCACCACTGTGAGGGGTGCAGAAAATTGTTACCAACAGAGCAGTCAGGTGGGTAGACAGGCATGTAGACTGGGGTGGGGTGAGGTAGGAGCTTCAAGACAGATACCAGAGCCAGAGCCCACAGGGCCTTTACCTTCCTGGGCAGAGGTGACAGGGATCTCCCATAGCCTGCTGAGCTCGCACACTGCCTCAAGCACTCGGGCTTCCCGAAGCAGCCGCTCCAGGGCCCATGCCTCCTGGCAGCGCAGGGGCCCAAATGTGCCTAGTTTCTGGAGAACAGGGGTGTCCAAGCAGCTCAGATCTCAGGGTAACATTTGGGTAGGATGGAGCCCAGAGACTACAAGTCCCAGCATGCACTGGGGGAGACTAGGGGCAAGAGCCAGAGTGTGGCAGGTATTCCATTCAGCAAGAGCCAGATGCCAGGGCCCTGGGGCACCAGGGTGTGGAACTCAGAGGAGGTACAGAGGGCCAGGATTGAAGAGCAGGGCTCCCTGGGGTAAGGGGTTACGACGGAAGGATGGAGGAATACACCAGCCTCACCAGCAGGAGGCGACTGCAGTGGTACAGGTGCTGGACCAGGGCAACGTCCAGAGCTGGACACCCCGTGCTGAGCGGGCGGGCACTGGGTGAGTCTAGGCTGTCCTCTGCCCCAGCCTCTGGGCTGCTTGGGGGCCTGGGAGAAAAATGGAGCCAACCGCCCCAGGAGCACGCATCACTACTAGGTCAGCAGCATTTATTTTTATTAAGCTTCCCCTCCCAGAATGGAAGAACAGACGATGCACAGACAATAGACAATGGGTAAATTCACAGAGGACTTCCAGGAGGAGGAAGGGGCTGGGACCAGCAGGTGGTAGCGGGGATGTCCGGGGTCAGTCTGCCCTGTGCCAGCTCCAGCTAGGACCACCGGGGCAGCTGGGGCTGGAATGGGCGGGAGTAGGGTTGCAGGCAGGATGGTCTAGGAAAGGTGGACTGCAAAGGGCTCAGGGCATTGGTCCGTGACCTGGGCAGCAGCAGAGGGAGCGGGGACGGCGCAGGACTCTCAACTGGGAAATGGCAGAGGTTACTCGGGGACTGATAGTTGAGCGGCTGGGGCCTCCGGGAGAGCTGGGGTCGAAACAGAGGGGACTGGTGCAGGGGGACCCAGGGTGCATGGGGAGACACTGAAAGAGCTCCTTCATAGGGTGGGTTCAAGGTGAGGCCAAAGGGAAGAGGAGGGGCTGGAGGCTCACAAGCTGATGGGGACCGGCAGGGGAGGCAGACATTGCAGAGATGAGGAGAAGGGTGGTCAGAAACACTGGGGACACAGATGGGGTTGGAGACATGGGCATCAAGGACACATGAGGGCGGAGCACAGGCACACCTGCCAGCAAGTTCATCCTCATGTGAGCTACCTGGCCCCACCTCACCTCTTCCCCCTTCTTGCCTTTCTCCCAACTCACCTGTTCCTCCTTCACCTGGCACTGCCTCACCTCTTTCCCCGCCTCTCTTCCCCCACACTTAGCCCCACCCCCACCTCACCTCACCCCCTCACCTGTCTCCAGGACCATCATTATCTTCATCTTCATCTTCATTGAGGAAGCTGAAGCTCTCCAAGGCATGCTCCACAGCGATGCTAAGACTGGAGGCCCGGCTGCGAGTCAGGCCTTGTCTCTGCTGGGGTTGAGGGGGGTCAGAACTGCTGCCACTTCCTGGCTGCCCTCCCTGCGCTGCCCCAGCCTGGCCCAGCCCTCCTCACCATGAGCAGACTCTCCAGCCGGGTCACCTCTTGCTCCAGGCCCTGCAGTTCAGGGAACTGGCCACGATAGTCATCCAGAGCGGCCGTCAGGGCCCCCAGTGCCTCCTCCAGCCTCCTGTCCCCAGCCCCTCCAACTGCCCCTGGGACTGGGGCCTGGGCAGCCATAGCCAGGGTGAGGTCTGAATGCTGGGGTGCAGGGGCTACAGGGGAGGGAGGCGGAGTTAGCCTCTGAACGATGGGCTCTGGAAGGTCTGGGGCAGGGCTTGTGAGGTGTTTCCAACTGGAACGGGTAGGACTTGGGTAGGAGGTGCTGGGGGCTCTGGGATCTGGCTGAATGCAGGGAGTAGAGGCTGGGGGGCTACAGGGCAGGAGTTTGGTGCCTGGGAGGGTGGGGTCTGAGTGTACAGAGGGGCTGGGGAGGGTAGCAAGGTCTAGAGAAGTGGAAGGGCTTGCAGTTGTAAGGATGGGGCTTGCAACAGGGTGGGTGGGGCTTGCGGTGGTCTGGACTAGGCCTGTAGCATCAGGGGTAGGACTTGCACTGGTCTGAGCTGACATCCTGACTTTGTGGGTAGGGCTTGTGGTAGTGTGGGTAGCGCCTGCAGTGGTATGGGCAGGGATTACAGTAGTGTGAGCGGGACTTGCAGTGGTGTTGGGGGGGCTTACAGTAGTATGGGTGGGGCTTGCAGTGATATAGGTGGGGCTTGTGGTAGTATGGGTGGGGCTTGCAGTGGTATAGGTGGGGCTTGTGGTGGTGTGGGTGGGGCTTACAGTAGTGTGAGTCGGGGTTGCAGTGGTATGGGTGGGGCTTGCGGTGGTCTGGACTGGGCTTGTGACAGTAGGGATAGGGACTGTAGTAGTGAGGGTAGAGATCATGGGCTTGTGGATGGGGCCAGTAGTAGTGTGAGTGAGACCTGGCGCACTATGGGTAGGGCTTATGGCACTATAGGTGGAGTTTGTAGTGGTGTGGGTGGGGCCTGGCAGTTCCGAAGGGCCAGAGTCTGTGGCCTTCTGAACTGAGTCTGTGAGTGTAGATTGGGCAGGGTCTGTAGATTTGGAGGCAGGGCCTGTTGTACCAAGGGTAGGGCTTGTGGCAGAATGGCCAGGGTCTAGGGCAGGAGGAACAGGACTGGGGTGCTGCCCAAGGGTGGGATCTGGTCCCCGCACTAGGCTTTCTGTGCCTACAGCCTCCACTGAAGCCTCAGCCAAGGCAGCGTCCACACTGGCCTCACTGATGTGGCTCAGAGTCCGGCTGTAGGGCGCATGCCCATTTGCCAGGGTTGGGGCCATGGCGCCTTCCTCATCCAAGGGCCTAGAGCTGGGCATCTCAGGCCTACGGAAGGCAACTTGGATGGGCAGGGGCTCAGGCTGCTGCACCAGAGGCCTGGGGGCTGACGAGTGGCGGGCAGTGCCTGAGAGCTGTGGGCTAGATGAGTCGTCCGAAGATTCGGAAGACAGGGACCATGCTGTGCCATTCTCCAGCTCCTCCTGCCGCCGCAGCATGTTCTGCGTGAAAGGAAAGGGCATTTCAGGACCATGCCAAGGGAGCCCCTGGCGGGTGGTGAGGCCCAGGCTGTGACTCACATAGAAGGCCTGCTCTCGAAGCGAGGGTGTGTCTGGTGGGCTCTGGCTGTAGGTGGAGAAGCGCTTGGTGACTGTGGAGGCCTTGTTGACAGTAGAAGCAGCCGAAGGCTGGTCATCCTTGTCGAAGGGGCTGAGGAGAGAAGACGCTGTTGGTAGATGCCACATCCCTTCTGGCCCTGTCCCCAAACCCCTCTGTCCCACCAACCTCCATGTGACTTCCAGGCTAAGCTTGATGGTGCCTAGGTCATTGATGTCCACGGCCACAACCTGGGGCAGGGCAGCGAACAGGTCCTTGGTCTCGCAGGAGACACTGCCCACAACCACATGGTTGGTCAGGCCCTTCAGTTCTGTCACCTGTAGCCAAGGGTACACGGGAAAGGGGCACAAGCATGCAGGGGCCATGAGATCGTGGGCCATCAGAGGGCTGAATCTGCACAGAGTTTATGAGATGGTCACGGGCCATGGAGGCTTGAAGCAGTCTGCGAGCATGGGGATCACAGATGTCTAAGGGTCATTGAGGTCATGGGGGTCACAGCCTCATGGGGCTCAGGGGGTCAAATATTCACAGAGTCAGGAGGCCACAAAGTCATAGGAGTCATAAAGATTGTTCTCAAGTCCACAGAGATCATGAAGGTCATGGGGCCATGGAGCCATAGGGGGAATAAGGGTCTGCAGGTCATGAGGGTCACAAGGGGTTCACAGGGCCATGGTATTTTGTGGTCCTGGGCAGAGACATCACCTTGATGGACAGGAATTCCGTGAGCAGAGGAAGAAAGACGGTTTCTTCACTGTCCCACACCTGCTTCCCACTACCCTCAATGCGGCCCCGTAGTTTCCAGCGCTGGCGCCCATATTTCATACAGATCTGGGGGAACAGTTGGGATGAGGCAGCCCTCGTTCGTGTGACCCTGCCATCCCAGCCCTTCCCCCGCACATCTTCATACCTCATACTGATCGCCCACACACAGCCTGGCGAAGCCGGCCAGTCCTGGGAGTTGGGGAAGAAGTAGATGAGCTATGTTGGGGGGGTGCCTAAGCACACTCCCTCTGCCCCCTCACCTGGCCACATGACTCAGTACCTTTCATTCGAAGATGAAACTCGCCCAGTTGTGCCTCCAGCTCACTTTCCAGCAGACACATGCTCTGGGGGGGCAGGGACAGGGGAGGGGGGTGGTCAAGAACCGGTCCCTCCCACCAGCCCTGCCACATCTCATGCTTCTGCTTCATAAGCATCCATCCCTCACCTCTGTGTACTCGCGATGCCCCCGGGTGGCCTCGGCCAAGCTGTCCCGGGCCTCTCGGCTCCCTGGGGACCCAGTGCTATAGGCTCGGACCATGTTGTAGGCACCATCTCGGAGACGCCGCTGGACACAGTATGCCTCATACAGCTCGTCGATCTGGGAAGGTGAGTCGGACAGCAGTGAGGGGACTGAGACTCACGACTGGGGTTGCTCACCCTGGGCCTAGCACCCCCCTCAATCTCCCTATGATATCCAATCCCCTGCCCCACTCTGCATGCATGCGGGCACATACCTTGCTGGCATGGAACTCCAGTCGTCGCAGGAAACGGTCAATGGACTTGACTTGCTGAGGGAGAGGTGGGTCAGGAAGGGCCTGATGCCCAGGGCCCTTTACCTTCCCCATGAGCTAACCCCTTCCAATACCATACTACACACACTTACCTTGTCCAAGTCATACAGGAAGCCCTGCAGGGGGGATGGAAAGGGCACTTAGGAGGTAAGTGGAGGACCCCTGCCGAGGCACTCACCCACCCAGGCCCATCGTAGCTCCTCTCCTCCACAGCCTTCCTCATACCAGTCCACAGCCACTCCAGGCATAGCAAAGACAAACCTCTTCCTGCATGCCTGCATGGTGCATGCTGGTAACACAGATCTGGTCCCTTAGACCCTTCCAAGACCCCTCCCCCCACCTCTCCCCTGGTATTCCTTTTCCAGCACCCCCTAGGGAGGGAGCTCCCATTCATCCTTCCGTCCACCTCTGGGAAGCCCTAACCTCTTCCCAGGAAGCGCCATGGCTCTCTCCTCAGTACCATTACAACATAATCTCCTGTTGTCCATGTCTGTGGTGTCAGACCTACCCCACTGGAAGATCCGGTGAGCGGGCACTGGATCCCAAGCAGAAAGTGTGCACAGCAAATAAGCCTTTCCTGATATCCCCTTTTCTACCTGAACCAAATCTCCCCATAAAATGGCCCTGACATCACCCAAGGCTGGCCCTGCCCAGCCCCCCACACCACAAAGGCATAGGGCATGAGCCCAGGGCATCCCTACCACCCTTTACTCACCAGGCGGGAATTCCTTTTGGACTCCCTTATCTGCACCTGGAGTTTCTCCTGCTCCTGTTGGTGCACTTCCAAGTAGGCCCTGAGGAAAGGCGTGACAACAAGAATTAATCTCTCCAGCCTCAAGCCTGTGCACAGGATACAAGAGAGGGTATGGGGCAGCAGAAGGTTCCACTAAGAGAAAGGAGATGGGGGTTTGGGGAGAGACCCAGGGACAAGGGGCTGGGAGGGAGTGGCTTACGTCAGGCCCTGCTTAAGTGCAGCATACACCAGGTCCAGCCGCTCGGGCTGCGGCACCTTGGAGGCTGGGTGAGCCACGGAAAACATCTTGGACACTCGGGAGAGCGCTGGGGGCTTCCGTGGGGGCCCTGGCGGGCTGAAGACCGGTAAACTCCTGAAGAAGAGGCTGCCCTCAGAAAGCGGCCAGTAGGAGTCCCCCAAGCCCTCACTACACACCCAGTCCCAACCCCGATCGGCTCTCTTGACCCCCTTAACCCTGCTGCGCTGCTGCGTACCTGGGCCCCCGCTCGTGGCTGCCGAGGACGCCTGCGAAGGACTGGCTCCTACTGACCCGGGCGCTGAGCAGGCGGCGCTGCGGCCGCACCGACAAGGACATCATGGAATGAGTCCGCGCGGGGCTCCCTGGGGGTGGTAGGGGGTGGTGGTGTCCAGCACCAGTCGGGTCCCTGAAGCCCACCCCCCGCGGCCGGGTTCCAGGGCTGGAGCAGGTCTCTCCTGGTCACCAGGTACAGCGGCCCCAGTGGGCTGCGGCCTCCCTCGCCAGCCGCGGCGCTAATGACAGGGCCGCAGCCTGCGACTCAGACTCAGCCTCGGACTCGGACTCAGCGTGGCCTCGGCTCGGCCCCCACTTCCTGCCGAGGTGCGGGCTCCGCCTGCCGCTGGGCAGGAAGGGGGGGTCGCGCGGGGACCCTCCTCCGGCTGGGAAGGGGCAGGAAAGGGGCGGGGCGCCCGAAGAATGTGCGGAAGCGCCTGTTTACCCGGGGGCGGGGCGGCCTCCCCAGCCCAGCCCCGATGCCCCCCCAAGTGGATCAGGAGCTGGGGTGCCCGCACCCTGGGAGGCCGCAGGAGGTCACGGGGCGGGGCGGGGCGGGGTGCACACTCTAAGCCCTGCAGAGTTGCCCGACAGGCCCGCCACCCGCCCGTCCGGTGTCAACTGCTTCCCCAGCCCCTCAGCTCCCGGGTGCTGGGACGACAGAGGCCTCTCGGCGCCCGGCAGCCGGGGGATTCCCAGAGTGGGGCGCAATGCCGAGAAGTGCCCCGCCCCCTCCTCTTTCCTACAGCTCCGACCTGGAAACTGAGTCACAGACCAACGCCTTCGCTCCAGCCCTTGTCAGGAAGAGATCCTTGGCAGACCCCCACCCCGCTTCGGAGAAACGCGCACCCCTGGCCCCCAGAATCCGGCCTGCACCTTCTGGGGCGCACCTCGGGGCCTTTGCAGCCCCAGGCCAGGTCCTACCTCTCTTCTTGGCGCTCATGGTAGGTCCGGGACGGCCCCCACCCCGCGCTCGCCCCCTGCGTCCCACCGGCCCAGGGCCACTTGGTGCCGGCCCAGCTGGGCTCGGTGCTCGCTCCCAGCGGCTCTGGCTCCACCTTCGGCTCCTCCTAGCGCCAACCCCGCCCCCTCCCCGTCCCCCCACCCCAGTTCCTGCCGCCTGACTCAGCCCGCCTGGATGGGGCGGGACCGCCGGACTAGGGGGCCACCAGGCCTTGGCTGCCTGGCCTCGGGGAGGAGTGACTGGGGGTTCCCCTCGGGGAGGGGACTGACGGGGGTCTTCTCGGTTGGGGTCAGAGTGTGTGTAAAGGGACTTGGGCGTGGCGATGCATGTGGAGGGCCAGAATGAGGGGGCTGAGCAGAGAGGCTGTGCCAGGGACGGTGACAGTAGGGGCTGGCTCGAAGAGTGGCCACTGAGGGGAGCTGAGAGAAGGCTGAACACAAAGAGGGCTGAGAGTTGGGGTTCTAAGTGCTAAAGGTGGAGAGTGGGCAGCTGAAGAGTGGAATGGCGGGCGGAGGGTGCTGTGTGGGGGGACAGTGCCAGTGGACGGCAGAGAGCAGGGCACTGATGATCAGTCTGGGAGGCTGAGAAGAGAGAGGGGTTGAAGGTGTGGGGCTGTGTGTTGCTGCTCCAAGAAGGACGCAGAGAAGAAACTGGGTGCAGAGAGTCCCACAGCCCCAGTCACCACTCCCGCCCCTACTCCCAAAGACTGGGGTGCTCAGTCTGGGCACTCCCCCTCCTTCCAGGCCCTAGGGAAAAGGATCAGGTCCCACTGCCCAGCCAGGGCCTCCTCTCTAGCAGAAGCTGCATCTAGGACTGAGGCCCCATCCTTCTGGCCCCCTGCTCACGTGGGCCCCTCAGGCCCTGAATTCCCATGGTGCCAGCGCTTTCCCACCCCCAGGGTCTCTAACTTGAATATCCCGTGCCCACCTCTAACCTGGATGGAGGCCACCATCCATGCTCAGGGCCCCTGGGCAACCCATCCTTTGACTTCGGAGGGGTTAGATGCTCCCCCATCCCATAAACACTCCTGCTCCTTGAGGCTCAATTCTGTCACATTATGCTTACTTTCTCTCCAAGAGGCTGGAGTGGGCCTAGAGGTCTGCATTTCCAACAAACTCACGGACCCCCACCCCTACAGATTCAGATGTAAGAGGTCCAAGGAGCCCAGTTTGAGAAATGCTATTTTCCTTTACCTCCTTGAAGGCTGGGTGCCGTGCATCTACACTGGCGACCTATGCGTTTCCAGGCACTGCCTGCCCAACCCTGGCCTCTCTGCTCCCTTCTGCTGCCCCCCATGGGAACGCCGCAGCCTTACCTGCCCCTGGAACACCCCTTTCCTAAATCACAACCACGTTGACCACAACCCTCAGGCTCTCTCCATCACCCTCAGCTCAGCTGCCTTTTACCTGAGACCTCTGGTCCCTTGAGCTCTCCGCTCATATATTTAACTATTCATTGAGTGACAACCCTGTCCCAAGCAAGTGCCAGTCACTAGAGATACAGCCTGGAATTTTACAACCACCACCCTGCACGGATCTCACAGTCCGCCTCTGCTTTCCTTTTTTCTTCTAGCTCCTTCCTCCCTTGTCTTCCCTGCCTTCCCTGCACACCCTCCTCCCTAGCCTGGATCCACAGCCCCCATTCCGTCACTCGCCTGCTGCTGGTATCCTCAGCACTCTGCACCTCTCTCCTTCCTGGCAGAAACCAGCCCTGGGCCACCCAACTCCCTGTCTCCTCTGCACCTGCACGCAGGCTGGCAGAAGCTGCCAGAGGTCTTGGCACAGCAGCCTGGCTGGAACCACAGAGAAATTCTCAACCTCAGCCAGGCACTTACTTGCCACCCGGTAAATCCTGGTGTGTGACCCTAGTCATCTCTCTCCTTTCCAGGTGTTTCAGACTTTCTCAGGTCTCCAACAAGCTCAAGTCACTCCCACATAAAAAATGAAAATGAGTGGTGGGTACAGAATGCCCATCAATGAATAATGGAATTACTATATAGCAAAAAGAATGAAAAATATACAACTACACGCAACAATATGGAGGAATCTAACAGACATAATGTTGAGTGAAAAAAGCAAGGCACAAAAGAGGACATAGGTATGATTCCCTTGATAATAAACCTCAAAAGCAAAACTAACCTATGGTGATAGAAGTCAGACTAGTACTCACCCTTGGGGTGTTGTGACTGGAAGGGGGTATCAGGGGTCTTCCAGGGTACTGGCAGTGATCTATTCCCTGCTCTGGGTTAAATTTCCTGGTCCTATATGTGTGTGTTCCCTTGTGAAAATGTATCAAGCTGTACACTTAGGACATACACTTTCTGTATGTATATTTCACTATAAAGTTGACTATAAATAACTACAAAAACAAATGACCCCCCTGCGGACCCTGTGTCTCTCTCCAGCTACCCCACTCCTCACCCCATCTCTCTCCTCTCCTCTCAGAGCCAAGGTTCTTGAAGAGATGTCTGCCTCCATTTCCTCACCAGAGCCACCTACTCCTCCCACCCTGGCCCAGCTCTGTACTCACCGCTCCCATGACTGGTCTGGACAAGGCCACTAGAGACCTCCCTGTTGCTGAATCCACTGTCCAGTGTTTATCCTTATCTTTCTCGATCTCAGTAAAGCTTTTGACTTTACGGCTCTCTTCCTCTTCTTTAAGCCCTTCCTTCCCTTGACTTTCAAGAGGCAACATGCTCCTGGTTTTCTACTCACCTCTCTGGCTGCGTATCTTATGTTCCCACAGAGGCTGTTTCTCTCCCCATCCTCGAGGGGCCTTATCTGGCCTGCCCTTGGGCTGTGTACATCTCCCACAGCTCAACGCCATCTAAATGTTGCCAGCTTCCTTATCTCTCGCCGCCCAAACCACTCTTCTGAGCACCAGGCCTGGTGTGTCCAACTGTCTGCTGGACGCCTCCCAGAAGCTAAGTGACAGTGTACAGTGGGGCACAGTGGGCTACCAGGGGATGTGCTGAGTTTGAGGTTCCCAAACTGAATTCACCACTTTCCTCCTCCAAACTGACTCTCCCTAGTCTTTACGTCTCTGTGACAGCCCCACTACCTACATACCCAGACAAGAAACTGGGAGTCGTCCCAGATGCCTCAGTTAGTTACCCCCCACATCCACTCAGTCACCTACTCCTGCCAAGTCTAGCTCTTAAATATCTCTGGAATCTTCCCCTTCCCCTCCACCCCCATAGCTAGAATTTTCAGGTCCAAGCCATCACCAACTCTCTTCTAGAACCCTACAACAGCCTCTTAATGGGCTCCTGGCTCCACTCTAACCTGCAATGATCCATTCATTATTCAGTAACAATAGTGATCTCAAAACTCCAGTGACCTGACAATACCAAAAACCATCCTTTATTGAGTGCTTTCCGTGTGCTTTCTGGCACTAAGCTTAACAAATGATATCTCATTTAGTTCTGGCAACAACCCTATAGGGTAAGTCCTATTAACCCACTTCACAGATGAGAAACCTAAGGCTAACTAGCTGTGTGACTTTGGGCAAGACACTTCTTAAACTTTTGGAGCTTCAGATACCCATCTGTAAAATGAGGACAATAATAATAAGAACAATGACAACTACCTCACAGGACTGCTGGGAGGATGAAAGGAGTTACCTCCCCTTCTTGGGAGTGTTTGGGGAAGGGAGAATTTTGTATGTAGGGGAGAAAAGTAGGGGTAGGCATATTGCCTCACTGTCAGCACACAACAAATATTAACTGCTGTTATTATTAACAATTTTTTGTTGTTAGAGATAAGGTCTTGCTCTGTCACCCAGGCTGGAATGCCGTGGTGCCATCACAGCTCACTGTAACCTCAAATTCCTGGGCTCAAGTGATCCTCCTGCCTCAGCCTCCTGAGTGGCTAAGATGACAGGCATATGCCACCACGCCTGGCTAATTAAAAAAAATTTTTTTTATAAGAGACGGGGTCTCGCCATGTTGCCCAGGCTGGTTTCAAACTCCTGGACTCAAGCAATCCTCCCGCCTCAGCCTCCCAAAGTGCTGGGACTACAGGTGTGAGCCACAGTGCCCAGCCAATTAACAGTTATTAATCTGCCCAAGATTACACAGCTGGTAAGTGGCAGGGCCAGGATTCAATGCAGGTTTTGTGACCCCACAGCTCTAAATCTTTAACATCCCTTTATTCAGACTCACTGGAGACATCCACAGCCACACCCTGCCCCAAGGAGAAAGCCCAGGCTCTCTAACTCTCTAACTCTCCAGCATGACCTACAAGGCCCTTCAGGGTCTGTCCCTTCCCTCACATTCCTTCAACCACTCCTCCCTTGCTGTCCCCTGCACCGCCCATGGTCTCTCTGTTCCAGCAACTGCAACCCTCTCTCAGTACCTGCAAGGTTCTTCAGCATCGGAGCAGCAACCCCCATTGCTCCTACCTTCTCCCCACTACTCTCCACTGACCAACACCCTCTTCTCCTGCAAGTCTTACCCTATCACTTCTTCCTCCAGGAAGCTGGCCTTGGGTTGGTTCCCCCTTTTTGGCCTCTCGGTAGCTTCCTCCCTCTGATCCACGAGGCCACATAATTCAGTAGTCAGTTCTCCCTTAGGGTCTGCCTTCCCACCAGACTGAACCCTGTGGGGGCTGGGGCCTGTCTGTTTGGCGCACTGCTGTACCCTCTGGGTCCTCCACTGGAGCCTGAGCACCTGGGAGAGGAAGGAGGGAGGGAGCAGAGTGGCGTGAGCTGGGCTGCATGGACACAGGAACAGCAGGTCCTGAGCTGTTGGAGGGGGAGATTTCAAGTTTGTGTCCATGCTAACTCCCCAGGCACAATTCTCCCTCTCCCGTCCCACTTGCTAATTATATCATATACCATCAGGATGTGGGGCTCTGTTCCCCCGGGATGGGGCAGGGTGCGGTCCCCAGGGATTTTGGACTCAGAGTAGGCTGGACTGCTCCATCAATTTTCTTTCACTGTCTGGGGCTCTGCTACCACCAACCCCCTAGTCCCACAGGACCAGGATGTCTAACTGTAGGTACAAACGACCATCAGAATTCCTTCTGGGTGACCACTTCAAGGGATGGGGGGCAGGATCTCCCCTGCTGGGGAGGGGGAAGGAGCCGAACCCCTTGAACTAAGGGAAAGGGGCTGCCTCAACTGGTGGGGGAGGCTGCTAAGAGCCAGGGAACTCTCTGGGCTCATGTTGGCCCTGCAGTCTGTTCTGGAAGTAGAAAAGAACCCAGGTCCCAGGTTCCAAAGGTTAAGGGGCATGCAGCACAGCCAGCTTACAGCAGCCATGAACGACCTGTCTGCATGGCCCCAGAGCCCGTGGCTAGGCTGTACCTCCTGCATGCCAAGACTGGCGCACCCGTGTGGGATGGAAGATCCCGCCACCGCCACCTGCGCTGCCCAGCTCAGTGGTATGCCAGGCCGGCCGCTGCTCTGGGTATCCCCCGGTCTAGCCCCGCCCCGCTCCGTGGCCGCCCCCCACCTAGGTAAACAGACGCTAAAAATAACCCGGGCAAGGGTGGCTGCAAGGGAGAAGGGGGTCCCTCCTGAGCCTACCCCTGTCTCCATAGCAACTGCCCCAAACGCGGCTGCTGACGTCATCCCGCAGCTGCCCAAGCGTGTAGGGAAGGAGAGGGGGCGGCTCAGCCAGGGACCCCCCACCCCGGAACCGGGCGGAGGCAGCCCGGTGGCCTCACTTCCTGCCGGCCCCCTCCCTGGTCAGCTGGTCACATTCCCCAGCCAGCCGCGCTCTGGGAGCTGGGCGGCCTCCCTAGGGCCCAGCCTGGCTAGAGCGGCGGGCGGCGGAGAGGGGCTGCGGTGACTCACCGGGCCCTCCCCGCCTGCTTTTCCACCTGGGCAGGACCCAGCCGGGTGCCCTACGTCTCCCCGCTCACCCCCACCCAGGCCCCTGGGACGGCTCACCCTGCTCCTCTCTCCGACCACTGCCCACGGGACCGATGATGGGGAGGGAGGTGCAAGAAGGAGCTATGCCAGTCCTTGTCCCGCTGGAGTATTTTGTACTTCAATCCCCAATTCGCATCCCCCTCCGCTCTCCAATATTACGGAGGTGGATGTTGCAGGGCAAAGATTCAGATCTAATTCTCCCATCTTCCAAACCAGCTGTGTGACCTTGAGAGTATTACTAACCTCTCTGGGCCTGTCTCTGCATCTGCCAGATGGTCATAACCCTCCTCAGAAGGCTGAGCCTCGGCCGAATGCGGCAGACCCAGGGCGCCGCCCCACAGATGGCGGCAGGTCACCGTTATTGTTACATTAGCCTGCACACAGTAGGTGCTCCGCCTGCCAGCCTGGACACACATTAGAACTGGCTGGGAAGGGTCAGTACGAGAGGCCGGACTCGGGCTTCACCCGGGAGAGGGCATAGGGTGCTGAGGCTGGACTTAGTCCGACTTCTAGCCCTGGAGAATAGCCCCTTCCCTAAACCAGTTCTGCAGGGTGCCCAGGCCTGGCTGCTTGCGGAGACCCCACATCAACCAACATTTCCAGGGACAGGGTCTGCTCTCCGACCGCGCCAGGACAATCCTCTCTGGCCTGTGCTAGGTTTAGGCGGAGAGCACGGCCCCAGGCCAGGCTCGGTCACCTCGAGCCCGGCTCCAAAGCGGCTTAGGCCAGCCTGTGGGGCCAGGAAGATTAGCTCAGCTCGGAGGCTGGCCTGCGCCCCTGTCGCCCCCTCCCTATTTCCAGCCTCTCCTGCAGCGAGGGCAGCGGGGAGCTCCCAAAGAGAGCGTTTGTGCCAGGGCCCAGGCTGGCGCCTTGAGCCCGCCCTCCGGCCTGGCCCACCCAGAGCCCTGGGGCACGGGCGCTAGGGCCTTGCCGTGGGAGGGAAGGAGGCAGCGCCGGGAGCTGCAGGCCCAGAGGCGGCTGCTTTTGTGGCGCGAAGCTGCGTTCTCTGCGCCCGGGAGGAGGGGAGGAAAGACACGGTGCGGCCGGGGTCTCGGGGATGGGGTGAGGCGGGACAGGGCCGCAACCGGGACCTTAGATCCGGGACCCACGGAGCGGCGCCGGCGGGGGAGGCACCGGAACAGCCGCGCCCGCCCCGCACCCGGCCCGCGGCCCCCGGAAACGGCGCGGACACTCACATGGCTACGCAGGGCTGCGCGGACCTCGAGCTCTCGGTGTGCTCGACGCTGCCGGCCTGGTCGCGCCGCAGCTGCCGCTGTCGCCGCCGCCGGCGCCGGCCCCTCCCTCCGCCCCGGCGCCCCGGCGCCCCGCCCCTCCCCTGGCCCGCTGGGCCCCACCTCCTGCGCTCCCGCGGCTCCCGCACCCCTGGAGGCACCCGCTGCTCGCTCCGCCCTCTCGGATAACGGGGCAGTCCGGTGGCCCGCGGTGTCCACCAGCTTGCAGGAGGGGAGACTTTGGGGGACATGAGGTGGTGGGGGGTGTTAGGCACTCAGGGTCCATGGGAATGAAGGGGCTTTCAGGGAACTGCACGCAGACCCTAAAACCTGGAGCTCCAGGAAGCCCCGCCTGCTTGCCTCCTCCCCAGATCCTTCAGGCTCTAGAGACTCTGCGGGTTCCCTGTCTGTGACCACCTGAAACAGGTCCTGGGGCTGCCACTGCTTGCTTAGGTTGGTTGGAGGAAGGGATCCAGGCCTGTTTCCCGGGGAAGGCCATAAGGAGGACAAAAGCCTGGCCATCTGACACCCTCTGGGTTCAGATGCTGTCTCTCAGCCCTGCCTTTTCAGCCAGCCTCAGTTTCCCTGCTGTAGGGGCAGGCTGCCCTTTCTGCCACTGTCTGGCTGTAAGTGTAGGCTCATACCTGGGCCATGCACTGGTTTCAGGGAGTGTCGGGCCTTGCTCTGGGGCATAGGTGGGGACCCTGGCAGGGTCTACATAGCAGGGCATGGGGCACATGTTGGCCAACAGAGTCCTTTCCAATGCCAGAGCTGGAATGCTGGCCCTCCTCAGGAGGGGGTTGAGGAGGAGCAGAGAACTGACCACTCACTGGGGTCAAAAGGCCAGCTCCACTCTCCCACCTCCCCCATCAGTAAGGCACCACTGGGCCCCTCCAACCCCGGATGCTCTGAGCCCTCCCTTCGGGCCTCTCCAGGCCCTGCACTCCCGCAGCCCCTCATCTTGAGAAGTAGGTCAGACAGACCCAGATTGGTTTAAGGAACTGTAAGAGGTCCCTGAATATCTGTCCCCTCCAAGTCCTGAGGGCTGGTCTTGACAACCTGATGTGGGGGAGTTAGGGGCACTGACAACCTCTTTCTCCTGGGCTCTTACTGGAGACTCACCTCGGTTTCTCCCAGTTCTCCCGCTCTCCAGCCCCTCTTCTTTACCTCCCTTTGCAGGGCCCTTTTCTCTGTAGTCCTGAAACTCAGGCATTACTGCCAGGGCTAGGTTCTTCTCTCCAACCCCCCCACTCTAAAATGCCATCCAGCCTCAAGGCATCCATCCACTCACTGCTGCCCCCCGCAAGCTCTGTGCCCAGAGCCCTCTCCTGTTCCAGAGCCCCTGGGTGCTCTCTCCAGATGACCCACCCATCATGGTCCTCATGATCGTACCACAATGTACTCTTCTTCCTTTGTCCTTATCCTTGCAAAGCACCACTCTCTACCCAGGCACCTGCCTGAGCCTGAGGTTGGGCCTCTCTGGAGCTCTTAAAACTGGCACCAATGGGGCCCTGCCCACTCCTAAAGTCACCTCCAACACAAGGCGTCCGCTGAGCACTTTCTCTGCAGAGAGCCTCCCCTTGATACTCTCTGTTCCAGCCTCCTGCCAACTCCCTTCATGCTGCTTACCACGGCCAGGCTGCATGCATGCCCGTGTGTGCTCACGTGCCTGAGCCTGCCTGCATGTGGGTCTCTAAGCAATGTGGGGGCAGGAACTACAGAAATCCTTGTCACCATAGTCCCTGGCTCATAGTGGGAGTTCAAGAAATATTTGTTGAATGAACAAGTAAATGAACGAGTAAATGCATGAAACTTTGGCACCCCTCTCTCTACCCCCACCTTCAGGCAGCCACCAAGCCCTCTTGATTCATCCTCCTTAACACCTTTTGAATTTATTCCCTGTCCCCACCATGTCCCCCACTACTAGTACTCTGTCTTTTATTAATTCATTCAACACACATCCACTGAGCACTAAGGGCTGGGCAGCATGCTGGTCCTGGGGTGGCAGAGGCATAGAACTCTCCTTGTGCCACTGCTCAGGGCTCTGATCTTGGGTGCTCACCAGGGAACTGTCTGAAGAGCTCTTTCTTGGTCTGGAATTCTGTAATTCCACTTCCAGAAAATTCCCACTTTTAATGGATGATTCCCATACCCTTCACGGTCAGCCAGCCACTTTGTCCTGTGTCTGGCCACATCTCTTCATTGTCACAGCTCATACCCAAGCCTGAGCTACCATCTTTTTTGGTCTCCCTACCTCCACCCTTGTCCCCTGCAGTTCTCCACCCAACAGCACAAGTGACCCTTTAAATCATAGATCAGATCATATTGGTCCCCTGCTTAAGAGGCTTCAGTGATTGCCACTGCCTTCAGGAGAATCCAGACTTTGTGGTGCAGCCTCCAAGGCCCAGGAGATCTGGCCTAAGGTGACCTCACCTCCTTATCTCCCGCCTATTCTGTGGCCTGTGTCTCCCGGCTTCCTCTGCACCAGCCACCTTCCCTGGGCATGGCCTCCCTCCGGCCTCTGCCTTTCTCCCAGCTTCCCTTTTGCCTGGGATGCTCCTCCCCATCATCCACTCGGAAAACAGCTCAAATATCCCCACCTCCAAGGACCTGTGTCCTCGAGCTTCCCACTCATACCCTCTGAGCACCCATAATGCCTATTGTCCTTGTCTGTGGCCAGGCCTGTGACCACCAGATCAGGTACAGGTGGGGCTGCAGTGAGCAGATGGAACACCTGGGAGCGCACCTGGCTCTCTCCCCTTGTCCAGGGGCCTTGAGGAAAGGGCACCGAGGGCCACAGGGTGCTGGAGGCCTTCCAGGCCTCTCCCTACCAACCAGTGAGCTGGGCAAGGAAGGACACAGCTGAAAGCCACTTCCCAGAGGAGACACCGGGGGCTCAGGGAAGGCAGCAACCTTGCATGGTCACAGAGTTAAGAAGGGCAGACTCGGAGCTCCAGCTCAGCTCCCTGGGTCGCATCAGTTCTGCCCTGTTTGAGTCAAGCATCAGTCCCTGAATTCGTCCTCTGCCCGGGCCTGGGCTGGGGGCTGGGGCACAGCAAGGAATCATAGCACTTCTCACCTCGGGGAATGTATATTCTTAGGGGAGTGGACTCAGGCCTGAGAAAAATCCCTTGAACAGATGGCAGAAGGTGGTGAGAGCCACAGTGAACCCAGGCTCCACACATATGGCACAGCAAGTTCCACTTTTGGAAGTAATGCAGTTCCAGTCCAAAAACCCAGAAAAACCAAGTCTTCCCTCACCTCCCTACAGCCCCCGTGGATTTCAGCTCTCTGGTATGCAACTTCTGCCCGCCTCCCAGCTTTCTGTGAAGAGATAGAATAGAAGCCTGCCCCATACACACCGTGCCTGTGGCCACATTCATTCAGTTGCCAGGTATGCAGCAAACATTCGAGGAATGTCTGCTGTGTGCCCGGCCTACCCTGGGGGACCAGAGGTGAGGACTCCCCAGTCCAAGGGGTGCATAGTCAATCAGAACAGGTACGTCCCCAAGTCTCTGCACCTCCTGTATCACCAGTGCTGAGAGTGTGTGTATGTGAGTGTGTGTATGTGAGTGTGTGTGACTGTGTCCGTGTGCATGTTCACGTGTGAGCATGTGTTGGTTAGGAAGGGCTCTGCCAGGAAGGGCCCCTTAGCATGGCTAGTTGTTGGGGCTCCTCCCTAGGTGGGCAGAGGGTAGGTCCTTGGAGGAGTGTCAGAGGCAGGGAGAGCAGGGGAGTTCAAGGCGCAGGAGGGAGAAGCAGCTGCTTTTGCTGGACAGGTGCAAAAGCTTCACGCAGCTGGAGAATTGTGCATGTACATGTTGGGAGGGGCCGGTCATGGGGGGCCTTTGGTGCTGGCTGAGGAGCATGGATTTTACCCTCTGGGTGATGGAGAGCCTGGGCTTTAAGCTGGGGAATTCTATGCTGCACTTTGCAATGGTCTCTCCGGCATTGTGTGTGTGTGTGTGTGTGTGTGTGTGTGTGTGTGTGTGTGTGTATTGGGGGAGGCAGGAGGCAGCAAGGAGGCTGGTGCCATTTCTAGCCAAGTTGACAGTGGCCTGGGCCAGGGTGGGGGCAACACGGATGGAGACATTCAAGAAATGCTCAAGAGGCTTTGTGACTGACAGGATGTGGGGTCTGGAGAGAGGGAGGTACCCTGGATGACGCAGGGGCTTTGGGCCTAGGTGATGGGTGGGTGGCAGGGAGGCCTGGAGGATCAGGGTAGGGGGAAGGTGACATGGTCAGTTTGGGCAGATGGTGTCTGAGGGTTCTGGGACCATCCAGAAAGGTGTCCAGAGGCAGCTGGACATGTGGGTACACAAAAGAGGGGTCTGGGCTGGAGACAGCTTTTGGAGGGGACAGTGGTCAACTGGATCACCAAGAGGTCTAGTGCAGGAAGGCCGACAGTGCCTGCTAGAGCACTCCAGGGCATGGTGGGGCAGAGGCAGGCTTGAGGGGGGTAAGTGTGGGGCTCGTGGGCATGCCCGACCTGCCACCAACCTCCACAGCCCTCCACTCCAGCTTGGACCCTACTTCCCATCGTGTGTATCAAAGGGCAGGGGCCAGGGAAGCTGCCATCGCTGCCAAGTCCTGGCTTTACCACTCTCACCTGTGGTTCCTGGAGCCACTTCTCCTTTCTGATGCTTTAACTATGCTCATCCATTCACTCATTAAAGCTGTAATTTGAAGAGGGCTCCATCTCCTGCGTAATCAACACACGGCAAATGTAAACAACAAGAGACACTTTTGTTTTGCCTCTGAGGTGGGCAGTGATGAACGTGATGTGCAAATGGATACCCTCAAGAGGGTGGGAATTGATTTGTGTGTTTAAAAGTAGTTTTTCTAGCATGTATCGGGCTGCCAAGTGCAGACCTCCCTTTCACCCTGCCATTCCACCTCAAGAAATTTATCCCAAGAAGTAGCTGTTGCAGCAGGAAAAGCTCTGCACCTGAAGATGTTGATTACTGGCTTGTTTAACAAGAAACGAAGGGACAGCACAGTCCATCAGGGGACACAGAGGGCTAAAGGAGGTTCACGCAGGCCTGAGGTACCCTGTGGCCATGG